TCCAGAGCAGAGTCCATCCCAACCAAATGGAACTGCACACAGGACTCCTTCGACCGCTTTAGTGTATTGTACGCCAACTGCAACTGTTTCGCTAAGGACGTTATCTCCTTTTCCTGCATTTGATCGGTGAAGCCACAGTTGAAAGCGATGATTGGATTGCCTTCGTCATAGCACGCCTGCATGTGCGCCTCGCTCCGCTCCTTTTCAGCAATGCGCTCGGCTTTCTCAGCATCAGCCCGTTCCTGGATCTCCTCGGCGCTTAGACCCGCAAGCTCGTCCCTACGCTCCTCACGACGCCGCTCCTTGACAGCCTTCCTCTTCATCTTACGCACCTCCTTACGCTGCTCTCTCTGGGCCTCCTTCCTCTCGCGCTTCTTCTGCGACTTCGGCTTACGTGTGAACGACGATATACTGGCATCAATAGACTCGTTGCTCGACATCTCTATGTCAGCCGATGGTGTCGATGAGATCTCACCACGAGTGCTCGGCGATGAACACTGCATTAGTTCGGTGGACATGCGAGAGCGATCCTCAGGAAGGACAAAAAGGGACGTGCTGCAACAGCACAGCCCAAATCCACTACGTAGGGTTCGTCGATTACACTGGTTGCGAACACCCTTGCAATAGTTTCTCGCACGCCTCCCCTATCAACAATTCTTTCAATACTGAGTCGACCGAGCCGCGACTAGGAAGAATTTTGTGCTCTCCGAAACATGGCCGGTAAAATTTCGCGGTACGAGAAAACCGACTACGATGATTTGCGAAGTTTCGATAACCGCATCTCGAGCAAGGAGTAGCACACTTCGATGGAGGAAATTGTGGCGAGCGCTGAATTTAGTGGCGCAGCGGTCAAGCGATGATACGTATTCCCACCCTGGCTGTGAGGGTCATACTACATATAACGTAATCGAGAGACGCTGTAGTTGAGCAGGTGGTTCGATGAGTTGGCGCACCAGAAGTGGGCTGTGGAAAGAGTATTACCTCCGTTCACTTCAATGGATGGTTTTAAGTTAAAAC